TTGGTTTTTGTTCATGTCTGTTCCTCCCTTTGCCTACTACGTGTTACTACCTGCTTTGCAGAGGATTATGATCAACCACTCTGATGTCCTACTAACCATTATTACGGTTTATATTGACAAGCAGCAAGCATTATGAAATATTTACGTACAAATATGGAAACGTATTAACCATCATGAACATGTATAAACCATTGTCAAGCATACGATTATGATCCATCTCCATTCTCAACCGACATTTAAACCACTGACATTTCATATCCATCATATTCCTTGTATCCATCATTCACCATCTGAATCTACCGGTACTCCCCATAGTTTTTCTCCCCGGCCACGGCCTCCCCGGTCACAGGACGGTCCCGCATGGCCGGGCGCCAGATCCGCTTGAAGCGCGCGGAGCTGCGCCTCCTGCGGATCTCGGAGCTGCGGCGGCTGATGGACGCCTTGGGCATTTCGGGCGAAGGTCACCCGGTCACAAACCCGGGCGGTGAAGGCGGTGACGGTCACGGCTTGTTTCATGGGGATTCAAGAAAATGGGGATGGATCAAAACCCTGGTACCCCTGGTGAACCCCAAAATAGCTGGTAAATGGATGTTCATCCCATTAAAAATGGTATTAATAGGTATTGATCCATACCCAAATCTTCGGGGTTTAGCCAGTAACCACGGGGTTGATGACATTTTTTTCACATCTTAAAGGATCTTAAAGGGATATATATTTATCAATTGTGCGTGGTTTATGAATGGATATTTTCATGGTGTTTTGGTGTAACAAAGACATGGGGATGCAATTGATGAACGGTGATTGTATGGGGTTATACTAGCTGGATCTAGCTGCTTTATTGGTAATTACTGGTAGTGATTACACTGATACCTATGGACCAACCAGTACAGTGGGATGGGATGGGATAGTGGTATTTTTCATGGCTCAATTGGATGTGGTTAGGCTGAAGAGATCTGGGTGTGCTTGAAAATTGGGTAGACCTGACACAAGTTCCACCTAACGCTTAGAGGCATGAACAATCTGCTGTAACTGTCTCCCTGTTGTGCTTGGATTTGTTGATCTCTTGCTCTAACTTCTCGGTTGCCATCCTGGCCCGTCTTCTTTTGGATGTCCTTGTCTTTGTCCTTGTCCAACTGGAGTTTGTTGTGGAACTTTGATGGCCAATGAACTAATCTTAAGCTGGAGTGCCTTCCATACTTGGCAGAGTTGAAACTTGAAACCATATGAAAACAGCATATTCGAGCATGTTGTTCCTCAATCACGCGGTAGTCATCATGTTGCTGAAACTATTTGGAAGGCAACTGGGTCGTCTCCCGATGGGGATTCCCCACCCCAGGATGCCTTGAGAAGGCAGAACTTTTGCGGCACCTCGAAGTGGCTCCTGATATCGTGGTGGAAGAAGAAAATACCGGCGCCACGATTTATGAGAAAGAGGAGCCGTGGAGAGTGGTTTCAACATGTTTCACACCCAATTTTTCACACTGTTTTTTTAAACATGTTTTTAGTCAAACAAATCGTATCGACAGTACTACTTTTCCCCATGTCTTCATGTTTTTACTGTTTTTTTAATGGGGGTATCCGATGACAGAGCCAGGAGCTGCTGACTTTGGATATGCCTTTGCTGCGCAACCTTTTAGAGCGCCACAAGGTGCCATATTCCATCGACGATGATGTGTCTGAAGAGGAGGAACGCTCGGTGGCCTTGAAGTCCTTCGCGGAGTTCGGGTGGATGAAGGGTAGCAAGGAACGACCAAGCGCTGCGAAGGATCACGAGCTTCAAAGCGAGAAGCTTTCGGCCAGGGAGAACGTCAAAAGCACAGATAGCGAAGATCCAGGCAGCTCTCAGAATGCTGAGAAAGAGGTCGTGAAGCCAAATTCTGAGCAAAAAGAGGAGGCAAAAGAGGAGAAAGAGAAGGAAGAGAAAGCAGAAAAAGAGAAAGAAGAGAAAGAAGAGAAAGAAAAGAAAGAAGAGAAAGAAGAGAACGAGAAAAAAGAAAGTACAGAAAAAGATGAACAAGATCAAGAGGAAGTGGACCACCGAGAGAAGGGAGAAACTCCTGATACCGAGAGTGGGTCACAGAGTGCAACTTCCTCAGGTCCTCTTGGGAAATCCGACCGCCTTAGTGGCTGTTTCTTTCATTGGCCTAGGTCCGAGGAGATATCTCAATCATTTTCAATCTGTCCATTTCATGGGTAAACCAACCTTTCTGGTCCATTTCAAGGAACCGGTTGAGATCACGATGTCACCTTGGGACGTAGAAACGACAACATCCCGGTGTGGGGCATCATCCCTGGTCCAAAAGCTGCAGCTTGGTGACTTGGTGATGAATAAGATTCATCATCCAAGGGAGAAGACCAGGGATTTCCATAGCTGATCCATGAATGTTTACTGGGGATCCATTAATCCCATCCAATGTTCAACAACCCCATAGACTATGGTCCCAAATATGTGGCACGTCATCCCCGAGTAAACCATGGCTTCTGGATCTTTCCGGGGTGTTAAAAAAAACTGGAAACAGATTCATGCGATTCATACAGTCAATATTAGGGCTGATTAATCCCATAGTAAGCCAACTGATTATTGGAATTATCTGGATTTATCAATTTATCCTCATTTTATGGATCATTTTTTGGGGGATCGTTGGGAGAATGACGATAAAACCCATGGGATCTTGAAGGGATTCATGGATCATATTCCCAACAAAAACACTGTTTTGTTTTCTCCACTTGTATATATTCCCAATTATTCCCAATGGATTCTTCCTAATTATACACTAATTCTTGGATCCAAATTATGATGAGTAGTAATGATAATGATGATCATGATTTACCGTTGGGAAAATGATGATTGAACATAATAACAATAACATATAACAACAATCACAGTAACAAAGATAGATGATCATCATATCAACAATAATGATAATCATAATCTTAATATGGGTATGGATCAATACCTATTAATACCATTTTTAGTGGGATGAACATCCATTTACCAGCTATTTTGATGTTCACCAGGGGTACAAGGTTTTGACACACTGCCATATATCTTTATAACTTTAATAACGATAATGAGTGGATCCAAACGGTCCAAATTTTCATCCCACATTGCCAGGCCGGCCCCGGCCCCTGCGGCCCGTCGGGCCCGCGCCCGCCACGCGGCGGCCGCTGCGGAGCCGCAGCGGCGCAGGCCTGGGCCCAACGATGAGTGAGGCCGGCCAGTGAGGCCAGTGAGGCCAGTGATTTGCTATAAGGCTATGGACCAATACCTATAGATACAATTTGTTAGGGGATGAACATTCATTTACCAGCTGTTTTGAGGAGGTGCCAGGGTTTTGACCCATGCCCATAAACTTCACAAACAAATAGGTGATTTATAGTGATTTGACATGCTTCAAACATGAAAAGTCAGCATGAAAAAATATGGGAATCACTAGAAAAAAAGGTTTTGGCCATGAACACATGGATGTAAGCATATAAATGACCATGAAAACATAGAAATTAGTCAGCACACATTGGAATTTATTTTCTGAATAATGGGATAATCATGGGATCTTGACGGGATATCAATGGGTTGTACAATCAGACAAAAACGGAGCATAACACCAAACATATTTATTTATATTTATTGAGCACATCAGGCATATACATCCAACAAGGTGGAAAGAAACAAGATGAAGAAAGATGAACAGAAGAATATCATCATCTAAACTTACTTTATTGTTGCCTACATTGATGATTCGGTGAATGTAGAACTATGTAGAACTACTGATCGCTTTGATGCAGGATGCAGGTGATGTCTTATGGATCAAATTCATAGATTGATACTGTCGGAGATACTGAGGAGAATTGTAGAGATGGTTGAGGACCCTGACCTCACTTTCCGAGCCGGGATTGCGGCTTCAATATGATTTTCAACTCCCAGCCTCACAGCATGGTCCAACATTTTCTATAGCCGACTTTAACTGTGAAGATCGAATTGAATTATGAAACAATTATCGACTCATCCCAATAGATGAAACAAGATGAAGCACATCCATGATGTGAGGCTGGCACCTGACAGATCTTTTCACGCCGGCTGTCCCATGTTTTTTTCTCCACTGGAGAAGCTTAGGGACCAAGGATGGGTCCATCTCAAGGCTGGACGCTTTAGCGCCGGCAATGCACAGATGGGGCCGTTGAAAAATGGGGGATTTGGAGCACCGGTGGTGACAGTATTTGGTGTGCCCAGACAGCTCATCCCGCCCAACATCACTTTGAGATACTTAGGCTTTACGAGTGTTTTAGGGCTGTATGTGTTTGGGTTCTAGGATTTTTCCTAGATCTTTTCACGGCTTTGAGGGTTTTTGGGCTTGGGTTTTGGGGCTTAATAAGGCTAGCGGCTAAGGGTTTAGAGTTTTTAGGATGTTAGGGTTGAGGATGACCCAACCACAGGTCCCCGAGCTTTGCGGAAGGCCTGAATGAATCTGAATGAGGTGTTTGCCCATATGTTCTACCATTGGGTAACATCCAATAAACAGAAAATAGCCATCTGGGATGGTTTGCACCATCAACTCCTCCCAGGTTGGATCAGATGATCGCTGGCTGAAGGCTGCTCTTTTTTGGGGCCACTTGACCGGTCAGGCATAGGAGTGGTTGACATGAAAAAGATATTCAACAGCTTGGACAAGTCCAACCATTATGATGAAACAGCGATGGCACTTCTCAATACATGAAATGGAGATAAATGATGATAGATGTAGTGCGACAAATTCTTTGTAGACTAGAACCTGGTCTGTGTGTTTGCACAGCTGGTTCGCGAATAATTACCAGCTTTGGCGATGCGTCAAAGTTGGCATCCCTGGAGGGCCAGGGTCACGGAGTTTTGCGAAAAGGCATGCGCTGCTGCGGAGAATGGGCGGATTGAGCCTAAAGAAGGCTCAAGACACGGTCAAGTTACTAGAGAGCGAAAATGAACATGAGTGAAGTGCAACTTGTCATCAGAGTCTTTGAGCAGATGAAAATCAATTGGTTGGCTTTCTCTGACTTCTTTAGTCAAATTCGCCAGTACCTGGAGTACCAGAGGGGGCTGTATTCTGTAACGTCAGATCACTTTTATGCGACCAACACTTACCTGACATTGACTGAAGCAGCATTCTTGGCACGCCAGTCTTCCATTGAAGGCATTTGGCCACCGAGCATTGCTGTACGGGTGGCGATTCGCCTTGTTGCTCAAGCTTTTAAAGATCAACTTGACGTCAAAGAACAACCAGATGACTGGAAAATGAACGCCTCCATGATGGAAGTGGAAGAAGCTGGTTCAGAACGCAGCCAAGATATGAGAGTGCAATGCAGTTGCATTCAAGCGAACTGGTCAAAGAGTCAAACAACATGCCTACTCGATCCAACTTGTATGATACTTGTATGTAATTTTCAAGTTTTTAGCTGTCAGATTGCAACACATTCCCTCGTTGATTGGTATTCTGTTCACTTTGCCCTGGCCCTGGAGAAGACAAGCTGCATCATTAGCCAATCTCATCAAGAAGTGTAAACAACCAAAGAAAATACAGATTTTTTTCCCTCCATTGATCCTGATGGCTATACAGCCTGAGTTTGAGCAGGAGGACTTGTAACATGACGTCGAGCCGGATGCTTCTTTTGTTTCCTCAGCAGTCTCCAACTGTATGATCAGTCACTGGATCCATGACAGGATGCCTGGGAAGCGTTTTTGGAGAAGACCGATCCAAGGCTGGTGCAGCTCTGATTGGTTTCGTTTCCCGAGCCAAGAAACAAGATCGAAATAGAAATACAATGTATATGAGACATAATAAAATCCTCTAAAATCATATAACATCTCTGGATTGGCACGGAATTTCAGATTTCAGCTGCAACAAAAAGTCACGGAGTCTCCAGGAAGCGGGTCCACAAGAAGTTTCAGAAGTACACCTGGAGTTTTGGCATTGATGAGGTCCGGGAGAGTTCGAAGCTGGTTGATTTTCGATCAGCTGGTGGATGGGTGACAGGTGATGTGGGTCAAAAATTGGGGGAAAAAACCAGCCCAAAACATCCCCAAATCATACTTTTCTGATCTTTTCTGCAAGCATCATCTAAACCAGTCCAGTCTTGGGACCCTTTGCAAAAATCACCAACTGTAGCACTTTTCCCTTCAACCCCTAAAATCCCAAACAAACCCAACACATCATACAGTAACCACCATCACCACCATCACCAGCCCATCCAGGACGACGAAGGCTTCACCAGAGATTGCGTCATCCTGGAGGCACAGCAAGGGAACCAGCTGAAAGCGGATTTCTATGTGATTTTCTTAATGATTTTTAGGGCATATTATCGGCATATCGGCATATTATTGGCATAATATGCTTGGGGTATATCATATGTATTCGTATCTTAGATTACATATGATTATACAGTATACATATATTATATCAAAATATATCAAAACAGTATTGTTGTACTATTCTATACATTTCTATACAATATATGTATGACATTACTTGTACATCATTCTGCTACATGATTCGGTTGTGATCACCCGGACGAACGAAAAAACAGGTGCGTTTTTTTTTAGCCGCGGCCATGTCAGGTGGCGACATCCAGAGAGACTGAGCCTCGACATGTGCAGGCAAAACTGACGTCAGGGCCTAAAAAAATGGCGCGAATGGTTCAGTTATGAAAATCTACATGGCCGCATGGCTGTGTCTTCACCATTTTCAGCAATGGAATTGGGGCATACCCAACTTTGGGACCCACATGAGTACCAGATGTCCCTTTGTCCGTCTAAGTCTTCACATGGGGAGGATGCTCAGAGGCAGAGGTTCATACTGTGAAAGCTCCTTTAAGCCTTTGAAGATAAGTTCCGAAGAAAGGTTTGGAAATTCTGGAACAAAACCGTGTGTTCCTGCCACTGTGGTTATGAGAGTTATTGCTTAGGAGGGTTTTTCACCTCACGACACAACAGGACCAGATGCTGCCATCATCGTTGTGTTCAGTTGCGTTGTTTGCAGAACTCATAGAATTGGATGATGGGAAAATTTACAGGAAAGCCCTATATTTGATGGTAAAAACCATGGTTTCCGGTTAAGATTTTCCCTTAAACCAATCCAATGAAGAACCAGGTCAAAGCATTTGCGTCTCTCGCTGAATGGCGATGTCGTCATCGACGACGACTTGAGCGACGAGCGCTGGCTAAGCGTCGAGGATCCCATTGGGCACTGCCATGTCACATTTTTGTCGTGTTGTTACCTTTTCGAAATGTTTAAAAGGTCTCTGTGAATTTCAGACCTATGGGACCCATTTTTTTGCCTATCTTCAGCTATCTTCGGAGGTGGCCGGGTGGCATAAAGTGCCCAGGACTCCTATTGGGAGCTGGAGACAAAGACCAATAAAGCTGGCGAGAGGATCAAAAACATCCGGTGCCATGGCCACGGCGTTCACTGGATGGATCGGATGGCGCGTATGGTCGTCACCATGCCTTGAGGTACTTGCTATACCTGAGAAATG